TTTGTCTTATAATATAAAAATAAATACTACAAAAATGTAATCCTTATTTTCAAATATTTATATATAAATTTTTACTTGGATATTTTAAATCTTTAAAAATATAAATCATTACTATATTTAAACAATTATGCAAGCAAATTTGCCTGCATCTCTCTACAATCTAAGAGATATATATCTATTTATAAATAAGAATTATTACTAATTTTTCTTTTTTTTTATAATTTTAATTCTTATATACAAGTAAAAAAAGTTTTGCTATTATAGAAGCTTTAACTAGCTATTTATTTAACTAATTTTCTTATAAATATTTTTAAATTTGTATTTATTATTAATATATAATAATTTTTTAATTTTCTAAGCCTAAATATTTTTATAAATATAATTTTTTTATATTTTTTAAAAATGTTACTTTTACTTTATGACAATATTAATAATCTAAAAAATACTAAGAAACTTTGACTATATTTTTAAAAAAGTAAAAAGCTATAATAATATACCTCAAATACTAATAAAAATAAGATAAAATAAGTAATTTTTATAGTATTGACAAAATATGTATACTATTTTGAAATTCTATATAATAAAATAAATATATTTTAAAGTTTTAGTATAAATATTTAAAATATAGTAATTTTAAAAAAAATATAATTAATATAATAATATAAGCTTTATCTAGTAATAAAAGAAGTTATGCAATATCAACAACAACTTGCTGATATTTAAGCAGAATAAATAATAAAGAATTTTGTAAAAGAAAAATAAAAATAAAAATATTAGTAGATACTGTTTTAGAAGGTAAAATAATAAATACTACATATACTGAACTGTAGTATCTGAAGCAAAGCAAAATATATGATACACTATTAAAAAAATTTGGTGTATGATTAACTAAAGTGACAATTCACATAAAGATAAATGGAGTATTATCGATAATCAAAACAATAGATAACGCAAATCACGCGTATCTGGTATAAGGTATGGGAAGGTCAAAAAACTGACGGTCCCCTCACAATTTGATCATCATATATACATCGATTCTGATTGGTGTATCTGCGACGGTATTGTGAATCCCGTGCGGGATATTTTAGAAACCCGCAATTTGCCCATTACTAGCAATTATAATTGATATATTCGAAAGTATGATGAATTTAATTTAAGGCTTGTTCATCAGTATAAGAGTATATAATGATGATTTTAAGGAAACCCCATCACTAGAAATTATAAATGATATATGCGAAAGTATGATAAATTTAATTTAAGGCTTGGTCAGTATAAGAATGATTTTAAAGTTGTAAGTTAAATAAAAGCTAATTAAAATAAAAGAAAAAGATAAAATTGATCAAATAGAAGTATAAATAGTAAATAAAGCGAAAATAATGTAATAAATAATATTAGTGATAGTGCTGTTAATCAATCCGATCTAGACCGATGTTCAGTTAAGAACTATCAGTTCTAATATTAGATTTATTAAATAATAAACTAGCTATTTATATAAGTGAAATATAACTTAATACACTATTATAATTACAGGTATATATGATAAATAATAAAACAAATATCACGAAATATTGAAATTTTTATAAAAGCTAAAAAAAGTCTAGCAGGCTATTATTAATAACGAACTACCAAGCTTTATCTAACTATTGTATTTTATTAATTAATACATTTGGCTAGTTTATTTTAAAGCAAAAATATAAAAAATTTTATACGCATTATCAAAGCTGCATATTTTCTTTTATTTCCAAATTTTTAAAATTTGTGCTTATTATAATTCAATCTGGCTAATTATCTAATTATATAAGTAAGGAAATTCATTATATTATCAGCTTTGCGTATTATCTGTTAACATGAACATTTAAAATTTGCAAACCGATCAATTAGCTAATCATATTTTTTTATAGTTGCTTTTGACTCTGATCCATGCAACATTTAATTCTGCAATTGTCCTTAAATACTCTACAGGAATTAATATACGTATAATAAGCTAACCCTGAATTAAGAAGTATATTGCTTTCCCACACTAACAATGGAAATAAAAAATTGATTAGAATAATAATTCCGAACTAAAAAAAAATAATTTGAATAGGGCCATCAAATATTTCTATAAATGTCAAGAAATGCAAAAAAGTTTTCACCGAATTTTCGCTGTTTTTGAAATAAGAAAATGGTTGATAATTTAGAAGCAAGCTCAGAAGGTAAGAACATGAAGATGTATCATTTTATAGTTTTAGAAGATATTAGAATTTTTATTAAATTCATCTCTCATGAGATGAAAAAAAAACATGCAAAAAAATCGTGTTAGTTATAAGGTTGCCAATGAAAGTATTTTGGCTTGCCAAATCCTTTCAATAAATTCTTAATAATAACGAAAATTCCAAAAGGCAAAAGCCATCCTAAAAAATACAGTAAAACCCACGTATATCCTTGCAATTTTACAAGTAAACCTTTTCTTACATCTGCACTGATAGAAAAAAAATGGGTGGCATTTATGCAACACGCCTAAAATTTTTTTAAGCATAGTATAAATGTCATCTATTTATTTTTACGTTTAGAGTCACACCGACTTTCGTTAGACTTTCGTCAAAAATTTTATCGAGTTGAAATTGCTGCCAAGTTAGTTCTGTTTGATAAAGCTGAAATCACCCACTTTCAATGGGCAACATTAGTGATATAAAGTTTAGATTGCTTATATAGTGTTATATTGCGCATACTTAAAATATATTTATTTACATTATAAAGACTTGGCTAATTCTATTCGAGGATTATATCGTTTGCTTGACCTATGCAAAGATGAAGGGTCAAACGGACGTGGTGAGTTTTTCATTCTTCGTCAAAATTAAGTAATTTATTAAGTCGAGAATCTGTATCATAATCAATAAATATGTTTTCATTTTTGGCAGTTGATAAAATCATCATCTCTACTGAATCATTGAAAAGACTTTGTAATGATTTGAAGAATGATAGCTTCAAGTCAATTTCAAATATAGATTATACAAAATTAAATGAAATTAATACCACTCTTATTGGTTGCTATGGAAATCATACTTTAATCGCAAAGTTTTTGTATAAAAATAAATTCATCGATGAGCAAACGTATGTATGCTATTATATAAGAAAAAAAAAAAAAATGGAAAAAAGAACTTGTACTTACTGAGTAATTTCTTTATCATCACACAGCCAAGATTTTCTCATTCACTCAGATTCATCTGATGCTGACCACAGAGGTAAACCCGTCCTTCGTCCCGGAATTTATTTACTTAAAGTGGACGATAATTTGGGCTTGGTAATTCATTGGCCTGAGCACGGATGTTACGAGGAAAATATATCGTCACACAAAAAGAAGAATATGATAAATTTACACAGGTTAATTGAAAATTTCATTTTTAATCGAATATTGATTATGTTACATGTATAGAAATACTCAGCGTCTTTTTCATCTTTTAGATACCTTACTAAACTTACCGATCATCAAATTTGTTTGATGACCGAAAGCGACTTGGAAAGTTTCGAATGGAGGTTCGATGAAGAAGAAGAAGAAGATAATGCCGAAAGTTCCGACGAAGAATCCGAAGGAACTCACTTTGAGTTTGAAGTAACAAAGGACCAAGAAGAAAAAGAAGACTTCATATTTTATCCAGGATTCAAGGTTACTATATATTCACATAACAATGTTTTTATTAACGAATTATGTTCACACATTCTTGTTTATAAAGACACCCCTACCCCTTAAACTTAAAGATGAAAAAAATATCAACGGTATTTAATCCTTTTACTTTTTATATTATCACATATTCATATTGTTATATTGAATCGACATTTAACCAAGAATTCATTATATGCATTCAAGTCGTAGTTATTGAATCAGCATCCCACCAAGCGTTTGTTACAATGAAGAAAGTGCAAGCAAATTCTAAAATGAAACCTTATAATCATGAAAATTTTTCTCCAATGCTTTTTAATCAAAAACTCGAAGGACATACTCTCCGTATTAATAAAGAAATAACTATGGATTCTCTTAAAATTTTGATTAAGCATGGTTTTCCAGAATTGGAGAATGAGATTCTAACTCCATTAAATAAAGCATTGGATGATGAAAAAGCTAACCTAGAAAATAAAAAAGAGCATGAAACGCAGATTGCACAAAAAAATAGTGAAATTGCTACCGCCATGTTTTGGAACGAATTGAAAAAAACATACATGTATTGAATTTACATTTCAAGTTTTTTAGTACATTTGTATAACATAACATATGTTTTATTGAAACTATATAGTAAATTTGTTACTTCAAACTCAAAGTGAGTTCCTTCGGATTCTTCGTCGGAACTTTCGGCAT